GCACAGGGCTGCCCCGCACGGCCCCTCGCTCGGACACCGAGCCCAGCAACACGGGACGTGCCAGAGCAACGCTGCCCTTACAGTGCTCTGGTCCTCAGTCAAGTAACTTATTTTCTGATACTAGTAGAGCCTGGCTAATGTCTTCAAGAATCTACATTGCAGTTACACAGATATTCACATTTCAAAATATTTTGTAATGTTACTTTAGAAAAAAAGAATATTTTGGGGTTTTAATTAACCTCTGCCATCTTTTTTCTGCATCAACATTACACCCTCTGTGCTGTCAAGAAGAATGAACTAAACCAGCAGGGATCTAATGAACGAGCTGGGGCACCGGTTGCTCTCGAGAAACAAAGCAGCCCGAAAGTTCTCAATCTGCAGCACTAATTGGAAGGGCTGGGGGAGGCTGGCTGACTGGGTACCTGACACACAGAATGTCAGAGCATTAGCAATGGCTTTGCTTTACGTTCAAAATCTATTTGTCTTCAAGGATAAGATCAATAAAATGATCAAGTGAGACATTTGTATCCAGCAGCACGTGGAACAAGCGGTAAGGAACAGCCCATTGCTGTGTGCACAATGTGTCAGCCGAAGTTACTACAGCAGACAGCTTACGAGCTTCTGCCACAACAGCACCGGCAAATTGCTCACGCCAGTGACTGAATGCAAGAGAAGGCTACCAGATTAGGTACCAGAAATTATTTACTACGTAACAGTTTCCCAAAGTAGTGACCAAGTTAATTTTATATTATATTAAGATTTGCTGTCTCTAAATTCCATCACTAGTCTGTTTACACAGCTGAAGTCCCTCCTCAGTCGCTTTGTGTGCCATCACCATGTGCAGACATTTCACCCTGAGTGAATTTTCAGAGAGGTTTATCCAATCCCAAGGGACTGGGAGACTGTTGTGACCCAGGGCTGGCCCAGCCAGCAGCAGCACGGGAGCTGACACTCATCAGGGCTCAGTCAGTGACAGCTGGAAGGGGACAACCTGCAGCAGAGGCAGGAGCCTTTACCTCAGAGAGCACTTAGTGCAACAGGCTGATCCCGCTCCCTGGGGCTGGAGCAGCCCCATCCCAGCGCCCCAGGAGCTCAGCAGGAGCACTCCAGAAAGCAGGACAAACACATACAATACACAGCCACAGCTTAATGCACTCACTGCACTTAAGCATGTCTGAGGAGATCAGAAAATAGGCTAAATGATTTAGTTCCATGCTTGTTCCCATTAAATGCTCCCCTCTGACCACTATATCTCTTTTAATTATAACATGAATTTGCTCTGCCAGCAAACCCAGTTCAGCTGGGGAAAGCTTCTGCTCCATTTGTTCCTGCTCATTCCCATCAGTTTCTGGGTCAGCAACTCATTTTCTAAAGGTTGCTGCCACACACAGGTTCATACAGTGTTTTCCTTTCAAGACAACATTGCTGCTAGAATTAATTTTTCCTGGTATGTCCCATATACAATTTCAATGGCAAACAGCCGTAGATGCAGGTGCCATGGGAAGGATTCCATACCATGCCATAAATTGTTTTCTTAAAATAAACAATACGAAATTGTATTATTAAATCCACAGTTCTGCGTGTTTTCCCCAAACATAAGTAGTATCACAGTACTAATGCTATTCCTTGTAGGAAACCTGCACAGGGAGGCCCTGGAAGGGGCTCTCAGCTCTCCCTGGAGCCTTCTTTCTCCAGGTGAACCCCCCCAGCTCTCCCAGCCTGGCTCCAGAGCAGAGGGGCTCCAGCTGTGGAGCAGTTTGATGGTAAAGGCTTTACAAGGAGAAGTAATTGATGTGAGGCATTATTACTCCCATGGATCAGGAGTAGTAAAGTGTATTTCACTGTTCCTTCCACAATACTTGTTGTTACCAAACAAACAGGAATGATTAAAAATCATTCTCTCATGCTCTCTGACTGACTATCCCCCTACGCCCTAGCCAAGCACAATCACAGTTTGAAATAGTAGCTAAAAAGCTGCATAAAAATATTTAAAATAAATTATTCCTGAATTTGTGCATTCATAATCACAGTAAAAATTCATTTCCAATGTCACATCCTTCCGTGGGACATTGTAAGCATAAATGAAAACAGGAAGTTTGTTTCTGGATTTATTTTCCCCCATCCCCAAAGAGGAGGTGGTGGCCAAGTCCATAATACTGGGGGGGTGAGAGCCCTCCAGGCCACCTCACAAGGCAGACCTGCCTCCACAGATATGGATTCCCTCTCTTTTTCCCTAAAATATCCTGTTCATATTAAGGACGAAATACCACCTCCAGGAAGGGGAAGAGAGGCTTCCCCTGGATCTTTCTTTCCTGACCAGTCTCTGCTTCTGAGTTTCACAGAATATTTCTGCCCCAACACATCCATGAAAACCCGTTTCTAGTTAATAACTTCTTTGGTTGCATTTAGAAGAGCAGGATTAAAACAACTACCACGAACCAGCAGAAACCCCCCAGCCTGATTTCAGAGACAACTTTGCCTAATGTACATAATAATGTTGTGTTTGTTTTGTTTCCAGTTTTTCCAGATTTGCTCAGAATTATCCCTGCAAGTATCCACGTTAGTGTCATTCTCTTCTGTACAGTACTGATCATCTTTGCTCTGGTGGGAGCAGGGTTCTTCATGTTCAATGCTTTTGGCAGCCCCTACGAAACACTGCATGGTCCTGTCGGGCTGTACCTCTGGAGCTTCATTGCCTGTGAGTATCAGCAGCCCTGTCCTGCCAGGCTGACTCTGCTCTGAGTTTGCTACTCACAGTGACCCCTCTATTGACATAGGAGGGGTGTTAAGGACTGGGGCTGCACTGACTCTAAGCCAGCAAAGTCGAGCCAGGCAGGAAGGCAAGGGACTCTGCTGTGTAAAATCACACGTTTTCTAAATTGGAGTTAAGAGATACAGTGGGGAAACCCCCCCCCCCAAGGGCAGGTGGCAGGATGGGGACAGTCAAGCCACTGCAGAAAGGTGCACAAGCCCCAGGGACAGAGGTGGTGCTGCATCACTGACACCCAACACACAGTCATAACCAGGAACCAGGTGAAAAACAACCAAAAGATGTCAGTGGTGCAACTGCTCCCACAACAGGAGGGTTCCAGTGTAAGTGAGGTCACCCCTTAGAGCAGCACGGCCTTGCCAAGGACTGAAGGGCTGAGCAGCAGAGAGGGATGGGCTGGCAGCAGCTTGCTGTGAGGGTGGTCTCTGAGAGCCACTGCCACCAGGGAAAAGAGAGCATCCCTGTCCCTCTGCCACACAGGGGTAACAGAGCATCCCTGTCCCTCTGCCACACGGGGAGGGTAACACCCACTCTCCAGGCTGCTGGCTTGGCTGACAAGTAGGTTTACCCTGACTTTAGAAGGTATTATATGTTGCAATCATAACTTAATAAAGGACTTGGGTATGTCTTTATCTTTAGACACGCAGACAGCTCCGTTATGCTCAACGGGACAATGAGTGGCTTAAAGCTGAACACGAGCACAGATATTTTGCTGGCTCGGGGCACTAAAGCAGCCATGCTCAATATTGCTGGTCCTGAGCCAAATTCAATTAGAAAAGCTTACCAATTTCAATAGCCATTGGCTTGGATTCCAAAAATAAACCCTGTTAAAGCTAAATTACAGTGGCCATAAGAACACTCTGCATGTGGTCTTTGGCTGTGGCGCACACACACACACACACACAGGGCATGACTGAGGGGTTGCCAAGGTGATGAGCATCTCCCCCTCCCTTTCAGGTTCCTGTGGTTGCCTCATCATGATTCTCTTCTCCTCAGAGGTGAAGATCCATCACCTTTCAGAGAAGATCGCTAATTTCAAGGAGGGAACCTTTACATTCAAGACTCACAGTGAACAGTTTGCAAATTCCTTCTGGACCATCCTGGTTTGCTCCCTGGTGCACTTCCTCAATGCCCTGCTAATCCGATTCGCTGGGTTTGAATTTCCCTTTTCAAAATCAAAAGATTCAGGGAGGATCACAGGAGCAGTTGACCTGATGTATTAGAATTACAGGACTTAACAACATTTCAAGCAAAGAGATTTGTCACTACTACATCAACAATCACCAGATGTACCAACTTGCAAACAATTAGCTCTGAAGAAGGTAAAACAAAAGAGAAGATTTCAAATAAGCATCACTACGGTATATGCAGTGAACAAAAGAAGAGATGCTGAATGGTAATGTCTGGATGGAAATGCCCTCTTTCTTGGGGTAAGGCCTTATTAAGACATTTGCCTTTTTCCTAGTAAACTTTGAAAAGTAGCTGGTATGAAGAAAACTAGAAATCTCAGTAGCATTGCACAGGATCTGGAAAGTCCAGTAGATGGTTTGCAGTAGAGACCCACACTCACCAGCAGCAGCTTTGCCCTTCAGCCCTGGTGGAAGCGAGGACACAGCTGTGACCACGCCAGGGAATGAGGACACGCAGCAAACTCAGACACCCAGCGAGGGACAGGACAAGGCCCGGGCTCTACCCTGACACCCCTCGGGCTCCAGCTCACACACACAGTGCTCAGGAGGAACAGGAGCTACAGGGAGTGCTTGGGGGGTAAAACCCAAACACCTGCACCCACCACCAGCACTCTGACCTGGCACCAAATGCACGGCAACAACACTGTTTCTCTCCATAAAGCTCTCTCTTGGGGTTTTAGTTTTAACAAACCAAACCGTGCTCTGAGCCCCAAGTCCCAGGAGCTCCTGTTACCCCTGCAGTCGCTGCAGCTCGGTGACAGAGCTGTCACAGCAGAGCAGCACTTGGGGAATGTGCTGCATGATCCTGCTTGCCTCAGGGAGGCAACAACCCCTCTGCAGCTCATCAGGCAAAAGGCATTTAGGGAGTGAACCCAGGTACCTTCATCTCCCATTGCCCCCTCCCAGAGCTCCCAAGAGCCCTGCCTGGAGAGCAGCCATACAAACTCTTATCAAATAACAATAAACCAAGTCAGAACCTTTGGAAAGGGCAGCAACAACACAACAGACAGGTTGCCTGGCACACTGCAGCTCAGCAGGGACTAAGGAAGGAACACGGCAAGGTCTGGTGCAGGAAGCCAGAACAGACGGCCACAGCAGCCCTCACACCCTGAGACATCCCCAGGTCACTTAAAACAACGGACCCTCCCGCAGGGACAGCAGAGCCGGCCCAGCTACCGACAGGCTGAGACGGGAGTAAAGACCACCCACACGGGATCCCCTGGGTGCCTTGGAGACGAGCTGCTCCTCACACGACACGGGAACAGCACTCAGAGCAAACACAAGGACACAGCCCCTGCCCCAGCCACCTATTTATCTGCGGGGGCTGTGCCCAGCTGTGGGTGAGGAGCAATCCCACCTGGCTGCAGGTGAGGAGGGATCCCACCCTGAGTCCACTCGGTCCCCTGGGTGCAAAACGGGCCCAGTTACCAGATATCTGAGCCCTCTGCCCTTCGGGCACTACCAGCCAACGAGGTCTCACTCACTTCGATGCCTTTTTTCGTACTTCCACAGTGAATGGCAAAACACTACTGGGTTCTTGTAGAGGTTTGTCAGCTGCATCCCCGCTACCCAAACACTTTCCCAAGGCAGCTCTGCCCCTGCTTCTCCACGGATTTTGACAATGTGTAAGGGCTGCTGCAAGTCAGCACGACACCAACATTTTTTCATAGTTTTCTTCTTAATCCATATGCATATTCTTCCTAATGATAATGTATGTTCTTAATATATAATTTGTATTGCATCTCATGGTATTGTTTACTACACAGCAAACCCAAACCCCTCCCTTTGCTGTGCAGGCAAGAGCAGCCCCGACCCGGGGCCCGGGTGTCCTCACCGGGGTCACTCAGCCCGGCTCCACCATCCCCGCCCCACTCCCGAGCATCAGCACGGCTGCTATTCGCCTTCATATCCAGTTCCTGAGGAAAACCACTTCTTACGAGCAAAATAAAATTGTGACAGTATTTGTGTGTTTGAGCGGCAGAAGTGACAGAGGCACGGCCGCCCAGCACGAACCCTGGGGGAACCCCAGCAGGGACCCCGGGCCCCCCATCATCCATGAAAGTGCCCCTGCTCCCGCCCCACACTGGAAAATAGCCCCGTTTTGGAAAACACCCCGTCTCCTGCTCCATGCTGGCAAATCCCCACCCTCCTGCCCCCTTCTCCTGCCGCCGCCCGCAGGCAGCCCCCCCGAGCAGCCCCGGCATCCCCCGGCTCTCCCGGCATCAAACACCGATGCTGCCGGCGCAGCGCGGGGCGGCGCGGGCCCCACGGGCTCTGCCCACGCTTCGGTCACGGGGGGACGGGCGGGGGGGTCGGTGCCGCTCAGTGGGGGGGTCAGGGAGCCACCCCCCAGCAGCCTCAGTGCTCCCATCCCACAGCATCGCCCGGAGCATCAACCGGAGCGTGGCGGCTGCGATGGGTGACAGGGGGGCTGAGCAGGAGGCTGCGGGGGGTGACAGGGGGGCTGAACACGTCGCACCGACGGAGCTGGAGGAGATTGTCAGCAGAATCTCTGATCTGAACAAATGGAGAGAAATCTTTAGTTTCCGTGGGTAAGATTTTTATTCTACTTTTTTATCACGTTTTTAATTCCAGGTGGTTATTTAATGTAATTTTTAAAGTTATGTTTTATTACAAAACTTATGTGCCAATGACAAAAGGTCTTTGTGTACTCCGTAATACAAGTGCTACAGCTCTTACTCTTCCTTTGTTCTGGGGTTGTCTTCTGGCTGGACTCTGGTTTCTCCATATGCCAGCAATGCCTCTGTTGGGTTTTTTAAATTGTGCTTTATTTACCTTTTCAGCTTGGAAATCAACAACACAATTCATCAGGTAACTCTTTTCCAAAGGTAACATTTGGTGTTTTTCTGGTGGGTTTTGGGTTGGCACATTGAGGAGGTCACACATCCATACCTGCAGCCCAGGTCTCTAGGAAGATTCATTTCTCCTCCTGCTCCTTTGAGAAACAGGCGTATTCTTCAGGTATTCTGAAAGAAAGTCTCCCTGATCTAAATCAAAGGGGCAGAGCAGTCCAACACAAATTAACCTTTCTGTCTAAAATTAGTGGTTTCCACAGGCAGTTTTAGAACACAGGAAAAAGGATAACAAGCTAACATCTCCAAAATGCAAGCATTTGGAAAACTTGCTGCACCCCTAGGTTGGGAGGCACTGAAGGGTATTCTCTGTAATTCAAACACAGTGTTACTCCCTGCTCCAGTCACTAGCTGGTAGGGATGTGTTGGGAATGCCCAAAGTCAAGGGCACCCATGTTCCAGGGCAGCATGTGTGTCTCCCCTCCCCACCGCCAGCCTAGGACCGGGCACTGCGCCCACCCCCTGGGAATATTAGGGGGGAACTTTGGGTGCATGAGAGCAACAGCCCTGGCGTGATGCACGGTCTGCTCCTCTCCTTGCAGCGATGCCGGGGCAGAGCTGGCGATGGATCACCCGGAGCTGGGGAGCCCCCGGGGCCGCAGCCCCCCTCTACCGTCCCCCAGCCCCTCCCGCTCCCTCCGGGCACGGGCGGCCGCCCCCTCTCCCCGGACACGGCGATGGTGAGCTGCCTGTCTGCTGAATTAAGCATGAGCTGTAATTGAATCTCCTGAAGAGAAAGTCTCGGGAGCCTTTCCCGGCGTTCGGGCGGCTGCGGGCTTCAGCCTGCTGTCCCCTGAACAGGGCAGGGGATGGGGATGCATTATTTATGAGACTCTTAACGAACATGGCTGCAACACAACCTTAAAGCTGATCCTCAATAATTCCCATGAGAGAACCAGTCAGATGACAAGGGGAAATGTTTACCTGCACTTTGGGGCCTCCCTGACAAACAGCCTCAGATGGGAGTCACGATCATGGAATCATAGAATCGTTTGGGTTGAAAAAGGCTTTTTACACCATCAGTGAGCGATTCCAGCTCCGGTCGAGTGCCTGAGGGCGCTGCTGCCGGTGCCGCTGTCCAGCAGCTCGGAGGTTCTGCAGGTGATGGCAGTGCAGACCTTCCCCAAAAAGTGCACTGTACCCAGACAGAGGTTATTACACACTGTGACCGAGCTTCACTGGAGTGGCTGAGTACTGACTGAGCCCAAACATCCCCTTTGCTCTGAAGTTGTGAGGTCTGACAGTGTGACAGTGCTGTGAGCTCACCCTACCCACACCCCGAGACTTCCTGACGTTACAGGTCATCCCCCGTGCTGGGATCTGACCCCCCTCTGGCTCATCCTCGGCAGGGGCTGCAGAAGCTGCTGTTTGGGAACACAACCCCCCTGTTCAGCTGTGAGTGGGCAGCAGCACACTTCAGGTTCCGCCAGCCACACTCTGACCTGGCCTACGCGCTGCAGGCAGGGAAGGTAAAGTGTCACACAGCAACTGGCACCGGCTCCAGGCAGGGAAGGTAAAGTGTCACACAGCAACTGGCACCGGCTCCAGGCAGGGAAGGTAAAGTGTCACACAGCAACTGGCACCGGCTCCTCCCTGTCTCAGACATGCACAGGAGACAGCAGCCAGTGCTGGGAGCCTCAGCAGCACACAGCCCTGCCCCCACACCCCTGCCCCCCACACCCCTGCCCCCACACCCCTGTGCCCACACCCTGCCCACCTGCCAGGCCCAGTGTTCCCCACCGGGCTGGGTGCAGGGGCTCCAGCCACAGCCCCCTCACAGCCACAGCTGCCCTCACAGGGGAGCCTTTGGCCCGAGGCTGGAGTGGGATGGACGGCCTGGAGCCAGCAGCTGGCTGCAGGACAGACTGTGATACCCTTCTGTGAGAGGTTCACACGGGAGGGCTCAGGAGAGGCAGCAGGATGCACAAAGCAGCAGGACTTTCCTGTTTCTTTTCCAAGAATTAGACTTACTTAATTCTTCCTGCTCCACCTAGACATCTAACAGGTGAAGTCACCTACACTGTCATTTACCAAAGGAGTGAGGTTTTTTTCTTCCTCCTTATTTGTCATCACAACACTGCACCCAAAAAAGCAAAAGCCCAAGATAAACACTCAAACTGTAAATCCCCTAAATCACCTGGAGGCTGAAATCCTGGGTACAACCACAGGCACCACTCCCTGCATTCCAAGGCTCTGTGCTCCCAGGAGGTACCACAGCCCTGACCCCGAGCATGGCAGGGAGCAGGCACAGGCACAGGCACCCCCGTGCACAGCCTCACACTTGACCCTTTGCTGTGAGACTAGAGGGGAGAAAAAACAAACTGTGGGGCTTCCAAGCACACATGGTGTCTGGAGCTGGGTGACATTCCCTGGGGCCGAGCACTTTGAGGGAGGGAGAGAAGGAGGGAGGGCACCCATGGGACCCTTGCTGTCCCCAGCACACAGCCAGGGCCACCCCACAGCTTCCTCTCCATGAGGGCTTCCTGTTTTCCTACTGGCCAGGGACTGCTGGGAATGGCATCTGCTCCTCACACAGGGGGATTTGTCTTTCTGTCCCTAGGGGGGAACGAGAGCTGTTCTGATGGCCGTACAAGCACACATCATCACATACCTGCTCTTCACAAGAGACACAGAATATACTCACCTGGACAGGTAAGATGCTGAGCCTTCCCATGGGACACACAGGAATTATTTCCTTGCCTTCTTTGGATTCAGGCAGACCAGCTTCTGGGTTCAGCCAAACCAGACCCAGGTTCAGGTGTGCAGCTACAGGTGGGGATCTGTACCGGGGAGAAGCCTTGGCTGACCCCTGGGCAAGGCTTCTTCCCACCAAGTCCTGTGGTTTGGGATGGTGGCACACGCCCCTCCCCGGTGTGTCACAGCCCCCGGTGTGTCACAGCCCCCGGTGTTCCTGCACAGGCTGTGCCGGATCGGGCGGCAGGAACAGGGGCAGGCACTGGCCGTGGCCCTGGCAGAGACCCTGTGGGCAGCAGGAGGAGGTGGCAGAGCCGTCGTCTGCCTCACCACCACAGCTGGCACCGCGATGCCACGCGCAGGCTGCAGAGCAGAAACCTTCACGGACAGAGTGAGTATGGAAACGCCTGCTGCCAATGGAGCCTTCCTTAAAGACACCTTTGGCCTGGAATGTGGATCTCCTAAACCTGCTCCCTCACTTACGGGGCACCAAAGTGGCGAGCTCCCCAGACCCAGGTCCCACCACAGCCCAAGACACACCCACGTCACGGCAGGAGCTGCTGCTCCCCTTCATCAAAGGCCGATCTTCCTCCCCCTGCAAAAACAAGAATCCAGTTAGTGTGAGACTGCTCCCAACTCCCTGACAGAGCCAGACCCCGGGGCTGGGCAAGGGGCAGAGCAGACCCCTGCACTGTTCTTTCACTTGGCTAAAGGAACCACAGGATTCAGAAGCTCAGGTTTTTTATATAATTCACATCTCCTTTACACCTCCTTCCCCGTGCTTGTGCCCACAGATCCGGCTCTTTGAGTTCTCGGAGAAAGCTGCAGCTCAGGAGTTCATCTCCCACCACATAAACTGTGTAAGTGGGGATGTTTGCTCTATCCAAGTTATTTTCTTGCTGAATTACATCTTATTTCCCATTCAAATCAGACCTTTTGAAGGCAAGTGCCACCATCCGCAGGATGTGGTGTTAGCATACAGTAAAGTTCATGGATCTTCCTTTGGGAAGAGATCCTGCTCCCACTAAGATCCCTGGGACTTTAGCCACTATTCCAGCTCTCTCATCCCACAAACACTGGGTAAATGGGACAGCATTTTGTATTTCACTGAAATACAAGATGTGATTCCTTGCAGTCTCAGCAAAAATCTGGGGAAAAAAATGTACAAAACCCATTTAGCCAATAACTGGAAGTTTCTTTTTTTTACCTGATCCTATTCAACAAAATTAGTTATAAAATCTTCCTGGAATAACACCTTACTCATCTGGCTCAACACACTCACCTAAGGCCATATTGAAGCAGATTAATTGTTTTAATTAAATGTGATTTACTGGCCATAATTTCTTCCCTGTGATCCCTGATTCCTTTTTCCAGTTCAGGTGTGAAGGAAGCCACGGAGTGATCCTATTTTTATACAGTTTACTTTTCTCTAGGACACTTGAAAGGTATATTTCACTTTTTAAATATTTTCCTCTAGTTTGGTTACATCTTCTGAAATGGCTTTTCCTTTCCTCCCTTTCCCATCAGCCAGGCAGGGAAATGCAGCATCACTTCCAGCACCAGCCTGGCACTGCCCTGACATTCTGTGTTTGGCCATACAGGGTCCAAGAGGATTTGGGTGACACAGCTCCTCTGCTGAACGTCAGTTCTGGAAATGTCACCTGCACAGAGGTAGGATCAGCTACAATCCACAATCAAATGTTTCCCACATTTGATTTAGGAAAAAAATTCTTTTTAATCCAGAGAAAAAAACATAAGGTCATGCAAAAATATTTTGCTAATTTTAATCATGGCTGTGCATGCAAAAAACAGAGGATGATGATGATGGTGATGGTGATGACGACGATAAGAACAATAATAACAAAAAAGCCACCTGCAGCCTGGCGTTCCCCTGCTCATGACAGGCACGACAGAGCTGGGAGTGGGACCCCACCTGCAAAGGGTGTTTGCCCCACGGTGTGACCACGGGCTCTGTCCCCCAGGCCGTGCTCAGCCTCCTCCTGACGGGACGGGCGAGCCCCCGGGAGCTCGACAGTGGGGCCGGGGAGGCCCGGGGGCAGCGGGGCCCGGTGGGCTTCCTGCGCTGGGAGCGGGCGGCGGAGCGGCAGGTGAGAGAGGCAGGTGAGAGCGGCAGGTGAGAGCGGGGCCGGGCAGAGGGACCGCGGCTCCCCTCGGGCTCACAAGGCTGCCCTGCCTTGCCCTGCCCTGCCCTGTCCTGCCCTGCCCTGCCCTGCCCTGCCCAGGTGAGCCCCGCGCTGCACACCCCCCTCCTCCCCGTGTGGCTGTGCGCTGTCCCCGGCAGGCACGGAGTCCTCTTCGGCACCGACCCCCGGCTGCTCTCCCACTGGAGAGCAGAGAGGCTCTTCCACCTCTACTTCTACAGCGGGCAGCAGGAGCAGACCCGGACGGCACATCTGACCATAGGTACAGACCCGGGCTTGCCGGGGGGTGAGGTGTGGGCGTCACAGACCTCTGTCCCTCCTGTGCTTAGTACTCAACAGAAAGTTTAAACACACCATGAAGCAGGATTGTTTCATGATTAATTCAAAATTTAAATAACCCTCTCTCCAGCTGTTGTGTTTTCTCCATGGACAGTAACCAAGCCCCTCACAACCACTCCTCATTCCCCCACCAGCGGGACTGGGGAGAGAAGCAGGAGAGTAAAAGAGAGATAAAGACAGATTAACAAGGAAAGCAAAGGCCGTGCACACAAGCAAAGCAAAACAAGGAGCTCACTCACCCCTTCCCATGGGCAGGCAGGTGTTCAGCTCTAGGAGAGCAGGGCCCTATCCTGCAGAACAGTTACTTAGGAAGACCAACCCAAACATCCTCCCCTTCCACCTTCTTCCCCCACTTGCACTGAGCATGATGTCATATTCTCTGGAATATCCCTTTGGTCAGCTTGTGCCTCCTCCCAACCTCCCATGCACCCCCAGTCTCCTTGCCAACACGGCCTTGACACTGTGTAAGCTCTGCTCAGCAAAACCAAAAACATCTCTACATTATCAATCCTGTGTTCAGCACAAATCCAAAACATAGTGCCATACCAGCCACTGGGCAGACAGTTGAATCTACCCCAGACAAAACCAGTATGCCAATGCAGAGAGGCTGGCACGTGGGGGTCACCTTCCTGCTTCCAGCAGCTGACTGAGGCTGAAGTCCCTGTTTTCCTGCACAGCACCAGGTGCCACCACAGTCCTTGTGTTTCCCCCCAAGTTCCACATCCCGCCCAGAAAGGGTGAACTGCTCCTGTAACATCACTTGGATTGTGAACAACCAGGCTTTGTGCTTGGGGTGCAAAATTCTTGTTTCTCTACCACTGTGCACCACTCACCTTTGTCAATGAATGCCTCCCTCTTCCTCACTCTCCTTTCACTGCAGCAGATAAAGTGGCCAGAACCTTGGAACTAAGGGGTAAATCTGCAAGGAAAGGTGAATCGAGATCCACCATCATGAAACCCAGCATGGCCACAGATGTTATCTGTGCATCTGCTCAGAAAACAAACATGCAAACTGCACCCTCGGAATTTCCGGGGCAGCCCCAGCCTGGGAGGCCCTGCCGGGCTCCCCCAGCTCCCTGGGGCAGGGCAGCAGCACATCTGCACCCATGTGGCTGCAGAACCTTCTGCTTTTAACCTTCACCAAAACCTTTTTGAGAGGGATTGGGTTTTTTTGACTCTTTTTTTTTAACAGCATTTCCTCCTCAGACACTCACTCGCGTCACTGGGAAGAGGCACCAAGTGCAGACGCCTGCAGCCCAGGGAAGAGGTGCCCGGCCCTGGAGATGGCAATCAGGACCAAGTGGGCAGGTGCCACCGTCAGCTGGAATGGGACAGACCCCTTCTTCTGAGGAGTGAGCAGGATGGACCCCTGCTCCTGAAGAGTGCTCCAACTGCACTGGTCACTGCAGCATGGAGGACAAAAACACCTCCCCAAATCAAACAGCCCTTGGTGCACTGAGGGGCCGCCCTGTTCACAAGGCATCACACCCACTGAGGAAGCGTGTGCAGGTGAGGAACAGTCACCAGCAACGCTGCCCCACCACACATCTTCTCCAGGTGGTAGGATGCTGCTTCCCATGACAGCCAGCAGGAAAAGGAAAGAGTCAACCCCCGGCACAGCTGCCCAGGGCAGTGGTGGATCATTCTGGCATTTGTGATTCAGTGATTTTACTGTCATGCCAAATCCTGGCACCCTGCATCAGCCTGGCAAGCACAGGCAGGGCACATAACTTCTCACTCACAGTGACCACTGTCCACTTCCTTCTTCGTTGCCATCACTCAAAGAAGATCTATTAGTCATACCCTTAGCGCTAATGTACAGTTGCTAATGACAACTGCACTGAGAACAATAAACCTTCTGCAAGCAATCCAGAAGCTTGGTTCAGATTAATTCAATTTTCCAATGAAAAAAACCAAGTGGTGACATCGATCCTGAGATTCTGTCGGGCCAGAATGAGGAGCTGCCAGTTACAGCTGATGTGGGATCTGCACCTGCTCCTGTCCCCTTCTTGAGTTTCTGCTCAGTTCAGGACACCCCTGAGCACGTGGCCTCCCCGCTGCAGAGCTGTGTCTCAGCCCCAGTGCTGTGGTCCCGTGGCACCTGCAGCCCCACTGACACCGGGAGAGGGGCCCCAGGGCTGCCAGGGCTGCACCAGCCCATCACCCTTCTGTGCCCACACCGGCAACTCTGGACACCAGGACAGACTGGGGAACAGAGAGTCAGGAGCAGGGTCCCCCACCCCTTCAGCCACATCATACCCCCAGACACCTGCCTCCCACCCCAGCCCTGCTCCCCATCCCCCTCACAGACCCAGTGTGATTGTGAAAGGCAAAAGAAGGAAGAGGAACCCAGCTAACCCCAGCTGCACCCGCTGTGGGAGTACACGCCCTCCCCACCTCCCTCGGGCTCCCGTCCCGCTGCCCCCACATCTTCACATCCTTTTAGAACCTTCCTGCCATGCAGAGCTACATTTCAGCTGGTCGTTTCCCTCCATTAGAGCTGAGCCCTTGCTCATTCCAGCCAGGTCACATCACGCTTAGCAATGCTTTAGCAATAAGCAGCAATAAAGACAGTCTGGGTGTCAGTCACATTTCTCTGAAAACTCCCCCAGCCCCGGCACCTCAGGAAGTGCAGTACTTGTGACAACAGCTACAGTCTCTCACTTCTATTCTGGAAAGACAAATAAACCTTGCAAACCTTGACACATCCCACAGATGCTCAGGGGTGCTGTCATGCCCTGAAACACCTGAGAGGATCAGAGGCTACACAGCCAGGAATGCAAGCAACAAATCCAGACACACACAAATGAAACTTAGCTGTGTTTTGGCACCTTGAATGAGTTAATTTCATGGAGGAAACAAGCACCAGAGCCCCTGGCAGCAAGGTCCCTCTCCTGCAGACCTGCTCACGGGTAATACCACTTTGGTTAGAAATGCTCTGTGTGGGCAGAACAAAGTGTTGCTTGTTGATGGACAAAACCCCTCAGAACCAAACTGCAGGAAGAACTCCGGAGAAAACAATATTGAAAGTGTTCAAGGCCAGGTTGGACAGGGCTTGGAGCAATGTGGTCTAGTGGAAGGAGTCTTCCTTCTGGATCCAGGGTAGAACTGGACGGGCTTTAAGGTCCCTCCCAACCCAAACCATTTTGTGAGTCTCTGATTTCTGGAGGGATTTAACAGACACATAGATGTGGTGCCAAGGGACACTAGTTAGTGGTGGCCTTGGTAGCTCTAAGTTAATGGTTTGACTCAATGATCTTAAAGGTTTTTCCAACCTAAGCAATTCTGTGTTTCTGTTGTTCTGTGACTCACTTATCTGGTGTCTGGTGTTACTGAAAGAGATGTTGCTTAAACTGCTGGGTTTTTCCCCAAAAACTTTTTTTTTTTTTTGTCTGGGGAATGAAGCCAGTCCAACTTCTCCCCTTGTTTGGTCCCCGCATGTAAAACCAGAGCTAAGAAAACACCTCATTCTGCAGAACATTTTAAATCAGCCCAAAAACATCTTTTATCATTTTT